AGGGCCTTAGTTCGCTGCGCTACCTCTAAGCCTATCTCGAATATTCTACCAAATATTCTACTGGATTCTCCACTGTGTTTACGTACTTTTATGCGCTTGTGGATAGCCTCTTCGTTGGATACTTCACTGGATACTTGGATAGTCCATGAAACCGCAACTTGCGCCATTCGCCTGTCCACACCGGTAATATCGATATATTCCGGCTGCTTTCTCTGCGCCACTAGTCCGTATGACGAGGCGCTTCTTCGACAACACATACTATACCCGCGTATGCGGCGCGGATCAAATTCGTCACTGACGACGTCACCATCGTGATATGAGCAATCTATTAGTCCGGTCTGCGTGACAACGCATCAGCCAAAGCATTCTGCTTTCCTAGCTCATACTTCTAAGTTATATTCTGCCAAGAATCAGAGCCAACTGGCCATCCTTTGCGAGTGGCGACTGCGTCGCAGTGAGTAATGACGCATGATCTGTATAGATCACAAACGGCATTGAGCCAAGCAGGTGCACCCTGAACTTGACAAGTTCATACTTCATCGCAAGTTATTCCTTGTCATGAACGGGGTAGTTCCTCCCTGCAGCCTTAAGATGGCGATATTTGAACGCGATCATCCGATCTCGTCTCTCTGCGTCTGCTTGCAGCAGTTCATCGCCGATGGCAAAGTCCGAAGCGTCACAGACAACACTGAAAGGACGATCAGGGTCTGGCAACGCCAGTATTGGTGTATGAAGGAGGTTGTCCATGACCCTGTCAAAAGCCGACCGATGCTCGGTGCCCTAACACCATTCCGCTTCCTTATTAAGGAAATTCGACAATGGTCGTGCCATTTCTGCATAGTTTAGCGCTGCTTGTGTAAGAAGTTGGCGATGCCAAGCCACTTGCGCAAATCCTTCCGATTCTTTAAGGAGAACGGAGAACACCCTTTGGAGGAATCGGAGTCTGTGCCTGAATGGTGGCAGCGTTTAGCTTATTGTAAGCGTGAACGATACGTACTTGCTGTTCGGCTTCCGAAAACATGGGTGTCGAATGGGGAGAGTTGCTCTCACGCACCATTCCTTCCTCGTGCTTCACATGACAAAAGGCATCAATGACGTCACACTGCTCCTTGGACAGAGGCTATTGTGGTGATACGCAGTATTTGGTTCCCGGAACCAGGTCAATCTCATGATGCTCACCTCGGCCCGGAGGTAGGACCGACGGCGGGTCTTTGGGGACGACGTCATGAAATTTCCTTACCAAAGGATAATTTGAACCCGAGGTATTTCCAGGATCGGCGACACACTTCGTGCGTTCAGCACCCTCTTAATGCCTTCCAGGACAGCTTCATCCAGAAGCGATGACGAGTTAATCTCCTCGTTTGGTCTTATAATGACCACCTCTGCCAAACTGCCTGCCTTCAAGGCATCGCCAACCTCTTCGAAGGACATCTCGCCCAGATCAAGAAGAGCACCCATCACGGAAATAGCCTCGAGGGTGACGTCGCCGTCTTCCTCTCCTGTCATAACGTTGACAAGGGTATATATATATAGCTGTGCGCTATCGTCTACGGTAAACACACCCTGCGCCAGAGTCGACGACCTGCGTCTTGCAAACACTTCGCCGTCTCCTTTCCATAATGTTTTACGTCCCGTCGAGGCCGGTGGGAACACGCACTCGGTGTCGTCAAGTGTCCCCTCTCCCTGCTTCATTGGGGCCTTGATATTATAAACAACGTCCGACGAAGAGCTGCTATCTCCGCAGTCTTTGTCAGGTAGATAACGTGTCACTCCACGCGCATCACAAGGGCCTTGCCCGGGATACCGCGGATCTCGTCAGACCATGCCAGCAGCGACCGCTTCGAAACGTGAGCAGTGCTCAGTGGATTACGTGCCACTCCACGTGCATCACCTGGGTCCCGCCCTCGACACCTCAATGTCTAAACCCTCGCTTCTTAGCAGAGATGAGTTCATGACTCACCAATGCTCCACCGAGGGACGAGCACGAAGCGCCAAAGCCTTCGACCTTTAATCAATCTATGGCTCATGGTGTTTCAACCATGCGATACCATGGATAAGGTCATACCTTGCATTCAAGTCGAAGACTAAGCAGCGTTCACGCTATTAAAGTCAAGAAACTTGACACCGAGGTCCACAGAAACCTTCGGCACAGTGACACAAGACCCCGTCGCTTACAGTGACAATATCACTCAACCTAGCTTTCAGCGCCTCAGCATACAGCTGATTTCGTTCGATTGTGAAGCGTCGAGAATTATTGCCCGACGCCCCGGAGTCGATCAGAATCTTCCATGGCTTTTCATAGCCTTTTACGGCTGCTTCCACAGCCACCAAGACCGGTTAGAAAGAACCTTAACGCGCCTTGCACAGGGGACAACCAATCCGAAGGTGACGGGTGTCTCTACAGACAAAATATCGTTAAGTGTCCGATCACTGCTCCGCAGCTCAGAGCTGTGCCTCCTCGTCCTCAGCATAGCAGAGATACATCGGCCCGCTCGACGAGCTGCTTAAGTGTGCATTCCAGCTAAGTCGTGCCGACTTAAAGTTGAATCCGGCATTCAGTGCCACATTAACTGCTTCTTCGATAAAGACAGGTGCACACGGAAGACTTCCATTCTGGCCACACCAAGGTCGGAGGCCTTCCATAAAGTCGATCACTGTGACCGCCTCGGGGTAAGGATCGGCTGGCATACCGGCAATGAGAGTACGCAACTCATCGACAAAATCCGCTATTTCCTTCTTGCTCTGTCGGGCGGCGAGGAAACGCGATCGCACACGATATGCCTGGTTAATCGGCGAAAACGCTGATCCTGGATGGGTTGATTGGCAAAGTCGCTTCAGCTCCGTCAAAGAGGGAATCGACGCTTCGACCGATGTGCCACACGTTAGTTCCCGCTCTAGCGCTCGACCACCGAGCTTGGAGATAGTTAGTGCCACGCGCTGTTGCTCGGTCTAGAGCATGGCGGACGCCATGGCCATTTCGACCTCTCTCACACGGAGTTGGAGTTTTTCTCCACCATGAGCGGCTTGGGTCGAGGGGGAGGTCATCCGTCGTCGACGGTAGCGTCATGGACGCAGTCGTCGCCGACATCTTCTGCTGTGGGTGCTCTAGCAGAGAATTTTCGTTGCTTCAAAATGTCTTTAGACGCGCGCTGATCGCTTCAGGTCCTTGCGGAGCGAGGTATTGCACGCCCTCAGGACCAAGCAGAGACATCAGTTTTTTAAGCCCGTCCTGCATGCCCTGGAGCAAATAAGAGAACTGTTAAATCCTCACACAGGGTCAGTCATAACGACGCAGCTGTAGATTTACTACAAGTGCTACCAAGTGTGGCGGGGCTGCCGTAGCGCTTTTGCTTAGAGGAAGCTTCGTTAAGGTCGATGACCTTCGTTCTATACTTATAACCAGTACGAGTGGAGTGGATCGCGATCCACCTACTCCAAGAGTAATTACAACCTTAGCCCAAGGCTAATCATCTCTTTCGTATAAAACGTAAACTGTATTTCTCGGTATTAATTCCTTAGGTTTTCCTATTTTGTAATAAAGCCTAATTAAATATATAAATACTGACGAACGATTTCTTATTAAATAAGAAATCGTTCGTCAGTATTTATTTAGTTTAACGGGGTTTCACGTGCCGTGTGTCACACCAGGGCACGTGAAACCCCGTTAAACTCGCCACCTAGTGGGAAATCATTTTGAAATCCGCTTTCTTCTTTGCAATATATATGTCCAATGACGTTGCGGGGTAAAGGAATCTGGCGCCTCGGGCTACATATAAATTTTAGACTCAGGTCACCCTCATGACCAACTCTTGATCTGGATGCAACACTTGTGGCGTGTCTTGTCGCTGTGTCGTCGTATTTTACATCAATATGATTTAGCTGCTCTTCTCCTCACACTCATTTTCCGGGTGTTTCCGATGAGGAAACAGTCCATACATATGATGAGCTTTGCTCATTGAGATAATGTATAAGTGGTCACAGCGCAGACGTACAACTAAACCTATGGATGAAGTGTCATCCGATGTCATAAACACCTTGCTTTACAATGCTTCCAGCAATGCAACACAGTTTGCACCTGACCTTTACGCTGTACACATCACCCAGACGATGCGCGACGTCACTATCGTGTTTATAATTAGAGCGACGTGAAACCGCATCCGCCGACCCGGCTTATACCTTGCCTCTAATGTATTTTTGACCATCTCAATATTCTCTGCGAGATATACGTGAAAGCGCCGCTGAGCGCGACGACGCATGATGTATATAGGACACGAATGGAATCCTCAAAAGTGACGAATTTAGTTGTCGATTGGGCAACCCAGAGACTATACAGCGATCTATAGGGGACGAACATGCTTGCGTAAATCGCGTTTTGATCAGTGTTTGTGGCATAAGAGTAAGGCCGCGGCTCACTTTATGGTATCTTAAGATTATCCAGTCAGCTAATAGTAGCAAAGTTGCATGGGATCTATAGGATGCAAACGCAAACTTGAAAAGTTAGTATGTACCAATCCTTCTAAACTAATATTTGAGTGATTATGGCGCGCCCTCGTATTTACTTTTTGATAATCTTGTATCGGTGAGCACAACGCCGCCCAAATATGTATGCTTCAGTCTGCAGCAATTCTTGTACTAATGGTTGCTAAAGAAAGCTGAAGCTCGTAGTACTAGGCACCGCTACAGACCAATTCTGGATGCGCCAGCATCGACATAGTGTGAGCGACGAGGCCGTTAAAGGCATCTCTGGGGAGCAAAGTGTTTACATCTATGTCGGTTATCCGTGCCAACTTTGGCGCTCAGGTTTCAAGGATGAGCTGTGGTGTGCAGAAAGTGTATCAATATGCAGGTAGCAGAATTATATCAAAATAATGAGCCAAAAATAACTTGTCAAGCTTCTCGTGTTCAATTGGCTATAGAAGTAAAACTCAAGCTTTTCCGCAACCAAAAAGCCAGATTATATCACAAGACATTGCAGGCTTTGTCTTGTGTGAGAATCTAAAAAGAATTGCCAATTATTACATGCTTGTAAAGTGTGCATCTATTGAGAGCTCTTTACCATAAAGATTTTTCCGTGGTGATTTCATTATCACACACACCTAACACAAAATGATATCAGGCTCAATGTGGTGGTCGCGGATTGACGCCTTGCACTTGGTTCCAAGGCAGCAACGTTTGCAGAAACAACAAAAACGGGTTGGCGTCAGCCGGCAAGTCATCAGCTGCAAACTCCTCTTGCGCAAGAGCTTCCAGCAGCTGCTCATTCTCGACTTGCGGTGGCTGCAACATAGGATGATCTGCAGGCAAAGTTGTGACCTCATCCGAGTAATCTGCATCAATAAGAAAGAAGTTAGTTCACACACTCAAACTCACACTATTTAATAATCAGCTATCTTTACCCGCTTTGACTGCTCGAGCATATTTGTGCAAACAAGCGGGCAACTTTAGCACTTGAGCAATCGCAGACACAAAAGCCGGAGATGCGAGAGCGTATTGTGCACTTTGTAGCAAGAATGATTGCACGTTGTTTGCTTTCCAAATAGAATGATTCCTCGTGACGTAAATATCCAGTAAATGCTGGAGTACACTTTGCTCTTCACCGACATTACACACATTGGCGAACGCGCAACTTGACAAAATTGGTTGCCATTGAGCTGCAGTATTAACAATCAAAGCCATGTGAGCGTACGGCTCATAAATCTAAAAATATGCACGACATACAAGACGACACATCAACAGCTATTTTCTCCAAAAGTGGCTTGAGAACTGCCGGATATTTAAGCAGCGCTGTGGCAAGTTTGGTTTTGGCTTCAGACTCATTCCCTAGGAAAAATCTTATAAAATTGAAGTGCATTAGCTCAATGGTAAGTAAACCCAGTCAATTCAGAGACTTACTGAGCGAGCGCTAGAGAAAATTCGAGATTTGGTAGCGCCAAAACGCTGTCTGATGTATCCAATGGGGCCGCTTTGTTAGATTTTTTCCTCAACATAGTAGTTTCACATGCAATACGATCCACCACTGGTAATTTTGAGTCGCTTAAGTCGATAACAAATTGATACTGACGAGACGTGAGCGCATAGTAGTCAATTGCTAAGAGCACATTCATTGGATCGCCATGCGGGTCTAGACTGAGCAATAATTTGGCTGTTTCAAACGCACTGCGCATACATCCCCGACGTCCAATCTGCTTCATATGCATGAAAAGTGCTCGAAAAAAACCGTCATTGTTCTTCGTTTGAATATCCATGCGACAATTTCCTTTGCAAACATCAAACTGGTCGGTCCATGCCAGCTCAAACACGTATATGCACCGTTTAATGCAGTCTGTGGCTTGGTCCATCTGGCCATGATGCTGGAAAAATTCGCTCATTGTGAGCAGAGCATCAATATGGTACGGATGACGCTGCAAGAAGTGAGCAATGAGGTTGGGATCATGCGTCCGCTGGAGAAGCTCGAATTCGTCTTGCAACTGATCACATACGCCGATATTGTTTGTATTGATTGTACATGTTCAAAGCTATAACTTGCTTTTACCTTTCTGTAAGCAATTGACCACGTAACTTCGTAATAATGGCACAAACTGTTCCACCCGATACCCTTAGGCTTATTAGATCGTGTCCACCGAATACCACCACCAACAAATGTCGGTGGACGCGGCCATTCGTCTAGAGGTGACACCATCATCACCTTCTTTGCGATTAATCGTGCAGCGCTCCTTCAGGCACAACATTCGGTCATTCGTTATGTTTGAATCTGCTTAGCCTTGAATTAGTTGAGATATCGTACCGTGGATCTCCGCGCTTGCGATGGATCGTCGGACCACTATCCTTCACCTACTCCACGACATATGAGACGTCTCATTAACAGGAAAGGCCCAAGGTAAGACCCTTACACCAAAAATGCGCTTCATTTCCTTGTCTGCATTGGCAAACTTGAGTTGTACACCGAAAAGCGACTGTTCCTGCTCGTTGCGGGTGGATGTCGCATCCTCAACGCTCAAATTGCCCGCTTCCGCCAACACCGCGTTAAAAATATCATCTAGAGACTGCTTCTCCTCAATTTCGTCGTCACCCTTCCGTTGTTTTCTATAATTTCCGTTCATGCTCTTTCTATATTATTCAGTACATCTGCGTCAGTAGGAAAGACAGAGCCTAACAAATTGCGTCACCTTTGACCTATTCTTGCTCTTGGACGGCTCAAAAGCAACGGAAGGCTTCTTCAGATCTTCTTTCTTCTCTTCATTTTGCTCTTCTTTGTCGCTGTCCTCACTCTCGCTCTCATCTGAGTCTACCAAAAAGGAAAATCCTATGTTTGTCGAACGCTTGTACTTCTGATCGTCTTCTCCAGACTCTTCTTCTTCAAGACTTTGAGAATGAGCTTCAGCCTCGCGCTCTCTAGCTAAACGTTTTGCATGACGGGCAGACCTGCTAGCGATTACACCAAAACAAACATTTAGGGCTGATTCACCACGACATTCAAGCTTACATTACATGAGGTGACAATTTTATGTGGGTGTATATTTATATTGTTTGGCTTGTATAGATTAATAATTTGGTGTTTCTTACGCTTTCATAGTGCGTGATGCACAAATTAGTTCACGACGTAATTTAACTTTCAATCAAACATAATGCGAAGGTTAATACGGCAGATTATGACAAAATTGCCCACATGAGACTTTCTACAGCTTTTACTTTCGAATAAATTCGGCACGATGTTGTGCATCAAGTTTTGCTTCAAGTGAGAGCTGTGGAATGCGTCTACAACAAATCGCTTCTGCTCGGATCAAGGAAACCCTGTACAGCGGGTAATCAGACTTGAAATTAAGGAGATGATTCCTTGCCAAAATACAGCAGCTCTTCGTGTCCATGCTCTGATGACCACATTTTACCCTTTCAAAAGAAAGTTTGCAGAAGCATCATCTAAATCACATGCCTTTGTCTACGAAGTTAGCAGACCTCAACAAGACTGATGAATTTCTCTAACACTAAACTTACTGAACTAATGCGTGCGGTGTAAGTGCTCCAGCAGAGCACTTTCATAGATCAAAAACGCCGCTAATCGTGCGATAATCGTTTCAGGTCCTTGCGAAGCGAGGTGTTGCACGCCCAAAGATATCAACCTTTTGAGCCCGACCTGCATGCCCTGGGACAAATATGAGAATCGCTCAGTCCTCACGGAGGATCAGTCGTAACGACTTATTTGTAGATTGGCTACAAGAGTTACCAAGTGCAGCGGGGCTGCCTGAGCTCTTTTGCTTAAAAAAAGCTTAGCTTAAGTCGGTGACCTCCGTTCTATACTCAGAGCCAGTACGAGTGTGGCGGATCGCAATCCGCTTACTCCAAGAGTAACCACAACCTTAACCAAAGGCAAATAAACTCTTCCGTTCAATATGTTAATCATATTTCTTGGCGTTATTTGCGGCATAGCCGCCTATACCTAATCCAAAGGTTCCTTAGCTAAATAGTAACACCCTAATTTAAGTACATAACTACTGGCAGTCTAGCCACGTAGTGGCTTCTTGTAAAGGTGTACCCACACAATTGCGTGATCACACAATCTTGTTTGACTTACCCTTCATACCAGGGTACGTGTGACCCCGGCATATCCAAGCGAGTGTCAAGCATTCAAAACACTCGTGAATTGTGTATCATGATCAGTCTGGCAACCCGTGATTACAAAAAACATGATCAATGACCAATTTGGCCGAACTTTTGACATCGATGAAATCGATACACGAAGCGATGCAAACAATCTTGCTGAGTCTGTCAACAAATACGAAAATTCCAATTGTGATCGTCAGCATTCTTGGGGAGGCCGAATATATAGTCGAGAACGACTGACTTCCAGCAGACAGGAAGACTCTGCAGCTGCACTTGCGTGTGCCATGCGCCCTTCATGCGCTGACAGACATCGCCTGTCTTCACGAATCGTGTAGCCCACTTGTACATATGGGGCCACCAAAATTGGGCACTGAGAGTCTGGTAGGTCTTCTCACGGCTGAATTGCCGGCCATCGGTGTATCATGCGCCTAGTACACTGGTGTGTACTTCAAATCATCGTTGTAGGGAACCACAACCCGTGGATCGTCGTCACGAACGACCTATAGCAAAAGAGACCACCTTTCCATGCATATCGATGCAACCTTGATATCAAGCGACAAAGAAGCTCATCATGGGGTTTCATATCACTCGATGACTGTGCTCTGATCATCAAGTCCCACTGTTCATCCTCAACATAAGCTCGAAGTACCATATCGAATACATCGCTTTCGATATAGCTGATACGAGCTAGTTCAAAATCAGGACAACGTGCGTCGGCTACCACATGTAATTTTCCTGGTTTGTACGCGACCGTGACGTTGTGTTCTGCAAAGGACGACAACCAGCGAGCTGTTCGCTGTGGCAAGTGAGGTGACTGAGCTGCATATTGCAAGCTTGCAGTGGGGCTGCCCTAGCTTTGCGCTTAGC